GCTCTTATCAGTTTTGAGGGTGAGCCGAGATTTGACTTCCTTCTTCTTTGGCTGTGAGAAATAAAACTGCATAGACTGCAAAGAAGCACATGTTATCAGCTGCTTTTAAACTGGCCTCTGTCATCAGTTTGTGTGTCCTGCTGTTGTGTTGTTGTTGACCAGGGCGAGCAGCTGTCAGGTAACGACATCACCGGAGCGCTGTGCATCAGTCAGCCATGGCCGGGGATTGCTCGGAGCATCTTCGGCGACCACCAGAGATTCGTCGACACGTATTTCAAACCGTATCCTGGTCAGTGCTACAGCGTAAACCCTGGCCGTCTGTAGTTTTGTAGAGTCACCGTCTGAGAGCCGCGTTTTTTTATTTCAGGGTTTTACTTCAGCGGCGATGGAGCCTACCGCTCAGAGGACGGTTTCTACCAGATAACGGGCCGCATGGATGATGTCATCAATGTGAGCGGTCACCGCCTCGGCACGGCTGAGATCGAGGACGCTCTGGTGAGACGCACACAGGCCTCAGAAACGTGCCGAGTAGTACTCTCTTTAAACCTTTGAGCACATTTGAAGGATTTTGAAGGATCTGACCCCGAGGTCAAGGTCACAGGTCAAGTTTTCTGAAAATCACGTGGAAGCCATCAGTCGAGAACGAGGCGACGTAGGAGATTGATATGGATACCACAGGTGCATCTTCAATATTTGTGATTTCGAGCGGCTGACACGCATGTGCTCTTCCCTGCAGGACGAACATCCAGCTGTTCCAGAAACAGCTGTCATAGGAATCCCACATGACATCAAGGGAGAAGGTAAGGACACGAGGAAGGAGGGAAGGAAGGGGAGAGATGAAAAAGCCTGATTGGTTTTATTAATGATGATGACATCAAGCGCATGAGACTCTGCTGCCCCCTGCTGGGCCGTCACTGAGTCTGCAGGCAGAGTCAGAAACGTAGAGAAACAAGTCAGAGTGCTGAGGGGCAGTGCAACTGTCCAGTCATTAGATTTAGGTCTGATTCCAGATGTTTGTCGAAGTTTACACTGAGTGTGTGTGTGTGTGTGTGTGTGTGTGTGTGTGTGTGTGTGTGTGTGTGTGCGCGCCCCCTCAGTGCCTTTTGCCTTCGTGGTTTTAAAGGAGGACCTCAGTGATGACGCTCCCGCCGTGCTGCAGCAGCTCAGAGACCTCGTCGCCACCAAGATCGCCAAATACGCCGTCCCCGAGCACTTCCTGGTCAGTGTGTCTGAACTCGCCTCCACACCCCTCAGCAGGAAACAGGAAGTACCAGAAACAACAACAAACAGGAAGATTTACATAAATATTTAGCTGTGATCTGGAATATTTACATTCATATATTCTGATTGTTTCCTGCTTCGGTCCGTTTTACAAAACCAAAACGTTTTTCTTCTTCTTCATTTGTAATTTGTCGGTTGATTAAATTATTGATCACATTATTTGCTGGCGTTCAGCTATGTCGTCCAATCAGAGCTCAGTTTGCCACTCTTGTCTGTCAGGTGGTGACGCGGCTGCCGAAGACCCGCTCAGGTAAGATCATGAGGCGGATCCTGAGGAAGGTTGCCATGGAAACAACTGAGGATCTCGGCGACGTGTCGACTTTGGACGACCCGTCCGTTGTCAAGGAGATCATAGAGGCCCACGAAGCGTACAGAAAGCAGAGACAAGAGGAGAAGAAGAAGAAGTAGAAGAATTAGGAGGGAGGTGGGCGGGGTGTCACGTACAGGTGAAGGCTCTGCTCCAATCAGGAGCAGTGCGGCAGTCAGTGCCACTGCTGATTGGAGGAAGAAAGACGCCGAGACACTGAGGGCGGTTTTCTCTCGTTACCAATGGATCCAACTTTTAAATGATTTTATTTTATTTCTTCATGTCATCTTAAATTCAGCACATTTATAGTCTGAAATCTCAAACTGTGCAATTAAGCAATGATGATGTAAATACACAGAAATAAACAGTAAACGTTCCCATCGGTCTGGTGCTTTTATTTACTTAAGGTTGGAACAACATCAAATTAGTTTTAACCATAAAACAGTAAAGATCTTAAATCTGTTTCAGATTCTGTAAATTTGACTTTGTAAATAAAAAATATCTATACAGACAAAACATATGATCAAAAATAAGAATTCTCAGCTTTCTGGGTGTAAGGGGAAGACTTTTCTTGTTTTATTATTATTAGTTACAAGATTTTAGATATATATCTTTGCATTTCAAAATGAAATATAATGCAACAAGATTGTAACAGCAGTAGGAAAGAGCAGTAACAAGAGTAGGACAGCTAAGCTAATTATGGCTAAACATTTGGAATTTAGTGAAAGCAAAAATGGACCTTGCAAAGATGGATAGGTTTATTTAGAAAGTCAGCTATTTACATTTAGTGTTC